ACAGCCAAATGGCGCAAATCTATGTGAAACTTCTAAGTCCGTTAGCCGGATACAAAGCGGCGCGATGAAGAAATTGCTCAGGCCGGTTACGTCATTTTGCAGTAATGCTAACATAGATCATGATTCAGAAGAAATCATGAAACACTTTTTCTAGCCACTAAGGGTAAGTGCCTCAAGCTTCTCCGTTTTCGTCATGCAAGAATAAGTGTGACCATAAAACGACTGGACGCTTCGTCAGTAATAATCACGTGTGGGGTCAGAAACACACTTAAATGGTCTCAGTTAAACAGTAATCCTTGCCGGTTAGTAATTTATGCTAATTATGCAATCATGGTGATTTTTAATCAATGACGTGGAAAGGGGCTCCTCCTGGTACAGTGCCGTTGTGTGTCGTGTCGTGAAACCTGTGATAGTGTACCTCCGTATGTACAAGGACTTCAAGACGCAGCTGGCCCGACTTTCTCACATGCCGGACTGAAAAAGCTGGAATACCGGTTTGACAAACCCGTACTGTACTGGTGGCATTGAGCGCACGGTCGTCGGTTTTCCCACAGTACTCACGCCGGACAAGATTGAAAGGCGAGCGACGTCGAACGGCTCGGTTCGTGTGTACAGTGGTGGTGGCGGTCTTTCTTTGGGCGGCGGGTGACGGTACTTTGGCCAAAACGGCCGCCGGTTTCGCGAAGTGTGACAGACAGAAGACAGACGGAACTGAGTTCGGTTTGGTCCGGTCCAGAACGAGGCGTCGTCGTGATCATCGCCAAGAAGCGGCGCAAATTCGAGCTCCTGTTTCTGTGCATCGCCCGGGGAGGGACCAAAATCGATGACAATGACAACTGCGGCAGTGGCGGCACCATTTCTTGTGCTTCTGCCAAACCGGCCAACGACGAAGTTTCAATTTTAAAAAATGCCGCCTCGCAACACTGTCGATTCAAAGTACGCCTTTGAAGAACATACATCACACCACTGCCTGTGGCTCGCGACGGTGCGCACCAGAAAACGACAGGTCATAAAATACGCCGCCTGGCACAAGACGTAAATCGTATGTGACAGTCGTCGTCGTCCCCTTCGTCTTCGTCACACACCGTTGTGAAACAGATCAGCCGTTGCTTGCTACGAACTCACTTTACACCACCCATTCCAGTGCTCGTTGAGAGGTCACCTGTCCAAGTACGGTAATGCTCCTAACGTGCACTTCCTTCTGTAACATGACACAACGTCGCAAATGCAAATGACACCAAGCGAAAGAAGAACTTTTGTAGTTTTACTCACTAGTCTCTTACTTTCACGACAACTTCTACCGCTTTTAATGTGCAGATACATTGCCTATCGAAAAGAGAATACCAGCTAGCGAGGGTCGGACAATCGAACTCTCTTTCCTGTCTTAAACTGGGAGAACCACCTACTTTGCAGGTGCATAGGACTCCGCCCGGACAGAGATCATGATGCTCCCTCAAACGCCTACCTTTACACGGGAATGGCGATAGCAACTCGCTTCTTTCATAGGGTATCTTCTTTCCGTTGCTAGGCGACAGCGTTACAATATCACTCAGTTAAATAAAAGTACAAGTTGCTCAGAACTGGTGAGGTGAGCCGAGTGTTCGCTTGGTGTTGCCAC